AGAGAAAGAAAGAAAGAGAGAGAGAGAGAGAGAGAGTTAAGGAAAAATAAAGAGAAATATTGAAAACCCGGAGAACAAATGAAAAGTCAGAATGACATTGTCAGCATTTACCGAAATAGAAACAGTAAAGGACTTAACAAAGACTTCATTGGAGCAAATATAATTAATTGAAGTCAGAACAGGATTGGATTGTCAGAGTAAAAGCGTTTCTCCTGACTGAAAAAAATTCACATAAATCTCAGTGTAGTGAGAAACAAAAAAGTTTCACGTGAATCTCAGTGTAGTGAGAAACAAAAAAGTTTCACATAAATCTGTGAAACAAAATACTGACAGTTTTTTTTCTATTGTGGGTAAGTGGTTACAAATGACATTGATGGAGAAGAAAAAGAAATATATTCTTGGTTTGGAAATATTCAAAATTGTCTAACACTAACTTCATTATGTACATAATTATACGTTTGTATTGTATTTGAGCCGAAGATACACATCATAAGTATTAAAACCATGCGCTCCCACAAACGGATAAACCTTCCTTCATTGCAAAGGATTTTTTTTTTCTTTTTTTCATTTCGGGTCAAAAATTCCAACACGTCTCCACCGATTGAACAAATGTTAAGACTCCTTGTCGGTAATCATGTGCACGCAATACGTCTTAGAAATACGTAAAAATTGACTTCTTAAACACTAAACATTAGTTCCTAGATCCATACTATTTAACATACACAGGGCTTAAAAAGTTGTCAAGAAGCGCAAGCCGAGTGACGTCACGGGGAAAAAATGGCGGGAAACACGAGAGAAAAAAAAAATGGCGGGAAACACGAGAAAAAATAAGAAAAAAAAAAATGGCGGGAAACACGAGATAAAAAAAAGGCGGGAAACACGAAGCACAATCCTGATTGGCAGAAAAAATTTCACACACACAAAAGAAAAGAAAGAGAGTAAAAAAAAAGCATAATGATTTCACGACGAACTGTTAAAAGACTTAACGTATATAGAGTATTAACACTATCAACACGTCCATAAAGATTTTTTTTTCTAAGTGCCCGATAAAACAAGGCAAAAATAGAAAACGGCATTTGAGAATCATTTCCGCCTTCTGGACTTTCATACGACATTGTGTAATAGGCTGAACAACTTCAGTTTATCCAAGAAAAGATGATAAAAATATATTCTTATTCTATGTGTATCTCCATCATGTTTCAAGTGTATTTCAATGTTGAATTGAAGAGTCATAATGATTCCTAGAATGCCCCACAAAATATCACTTTATGATTTGAAGTCTGTGATCAAATTTTGGGAAAATTAGTGTATATATGCATATTTATCTTTGATTTTGTTTCCGTTTCTTTCTTGAATAATGTTTGGTATCATTTTTTTTTTACCTGAACTAATCTTTCTTTTTCTTAATTTCATTATGGCCACTTAAAAAAAAATGCCAAACTTCATTTTTTGTTTTTCAAATATCAAATCTCTTCAATCTTAAAATTTCATTAAAAAAAAGGACAACCGCGTTTAAAACTAGGTCAAGCAATACGAGGGGGCCTAGACGATTGAAATTTGCGATTTGTATGACCCCATGACCTTACATCAACAAGTAACCTGTAGGTTTACAGGGCCTTAAAAAAAAAAGAAAAAAAAACTGCCTAATTCATGGCAAGAAAAATAAGAAACGTCTTTGTTTTCATTTCCTAAGTAAATAATATCATTGAAAATTCTTTAGATCCTTCAGTTTTTAATTCTGACTGATACCCCTGCCATTTTGAAGCCTTTTTTTATCATTTTCATCCAAAGACCTGTCAGCTGTCAGTTATCAGGAAAACTGCATGATCAGCCTGGCAGTTGCATAGCCAGATCTTTCATGATCTTTCCAATAACTGCTCTGTCTGACAACTGCATAATCAGTCTGACAATCGCATGATCTGTGTGACAATCGTATGATTTATCTGACAATCGTATGATTTATCTGACACATGATTTATCTGACAATTGTATGATTTATCTGACAATCGTATGATCTATCTGACAATTACATGATCTAACGATTGCATGATCTCTCTGACAGTTGCTTGATTTGTCTTTTAAGGTTCCACGCCTCGATTGGCCTCGTTTGACCTCTCTCGCCTAATCTCTCGAGTCCAGAAGCGAGATTTGCTCAGCTCGCCAAGTAACTTCTAGAATTCGAAAGAAAGATGCACGACCTACACTAAGCCAAATCTACTATATTTGTAGTAAAGACAAAAAAAGAAAGAAAAAAAAATACTTAAAATGAAGACTAATTATTACACGTAAACTCTTCATTAGTCTCGCACGATAGACATCTTTGTTTTTGTTTTTTTTCTAAGAAAGCAAACGACAAGAAACAAAAATGATTGAAACTTTCTCACAGTTGACGAGTTCTCACATTAGTAACGACGAAATTTACCGAATATACATGGAGAAGTAGAAGACAGGAAGGAAAAAAATATATTTACACGTAACACACGTACACAAACGGAACACA